CTTGCAACGGCAAGTTAGACGCAGTGAAATGGTTTCTTGAGAAGGGGGCAGATGTAACCTGTGTTGATAGCAATAGATGGAATATGTTACATTTTGCCGCACTGGGTGGAGACACTGACGTCATTGATCTTATCCTTACTCACTTGCCGGACATTGAGTCCAAAACAGCCCACCGTAATGATTACAAAAGCTGACGTTTCGACCGTTAGCCCTTCGCTCCGACAAAAGGCTAACGCTTGAAACGTCAGCTTTTGTAATCGTTATGGTGGCTAATTTACCACCTCAACTTTGTTGATATATCCAAATTATTCAGATCATTACACTCCACCCAAACTCTTTCCCAATCAAAAACAAAAAAATGTAATAAAAGCTTGTTTGTGTAATAATTTCCATTTTACAAATATTTTTCCAGGTGGATTGCCCATGAAAATGCCAGGGAGAGTGGGTGACAGCCCACTAGTCGGATGTGGAGGATATGCCAATACAGTGGCTGCATCGTCTACCACTGGTCATGGAGAATCGTTGATGAAAACTGTTCTGGCTTGGGAGGTGGTCCGAAATGTGGAAGATGGCTTAGAACCCAAGCAAGCCTGTGAAAAATCAATTGATAAAATGGCTAAATCCGTTAAAGGTGTTGGTGGTGTCATAGCACTAAATAATCATGGAGAGTTTGGACTAGCTTTCTCCTCCAAGCACATGACTTGGGCATTCGTGAGTAAACATACTCTTAAATTTGGACAGGAGCTGGGTGAGGAACAAGACATTCCAGTGTAGAATGTTTAAATGATTAAATTTTACACCAAAATGATAAAAGTTATCTATAATAAGATCTAGAAATGTTGTGAATTTTATAGCATTAGAGTTATTATTGATACAGGAGGAGGAATTGTTAATTTTAAAACATGAAATGCGGTGATCACTTCTTCTAAACTCAGTCCAAGAAAATTGCTTTTTCAACAAAAATAACGGTAAAAATGCTCTTCACAAAATAGTTTTTCTTATCAGAAAAGCTGATATCAACTCTACGCATTATGGAGAGAAATATTTTTAGCAAAATGTTACAGTTATCATAACAACATTCTTACCTTCACTAATTAAGTATCATAAAATTTTAATATAATCTTGTACAGACTTCTACAACAATTTTTAGAAAAAAAAATCCATTTTAACAGGATTAGTTAGAACTGATATAAAATGTTATTCATGATGTGATTCTTGTTTGTTTGTTGTTGTTTGATTCTTGTTTGTTTGTTTGTCTGTTTGTTTTTTACACATAACTATACTACCCTCTGAATGAAAATTTCTGAAACAAAAAAAAGGAACTTGAAAAATTATAAAAAATGTATTAAGGTGTGTGGATTTTACTGTCGGAGGGTCCCCTATACCGCTTTGTAAAACTCAGTTACGTAAATATATTTGGCCATTGCATGCATCCAAAATTTATTTCACGTTCACGCGAAATTTTAGACGATCACGTCTCACATCAAAATAGACAACCAAATTCACGATTTTCAATCCATTTAAAGTCCCATGTCCTGTCAAAACTCCAGTTAAAACCTAACTACAGCCGCTCCAGAACAATATGTACATTTTCATCTCGAAAAATAAGTTCGCGAATCACGTTAAATTCAGCTTTTTATTCACGATTCACTGACGTTTTAAAAAAAATTGTTTACGTGGACGTGAATTAACAATTGGTTCATGCTTTAGCGTGCACTATCGAGTTATGGAGCACGCGGGAAGTTTGGAGAGCACAAAAGAAGCGTAAGAGTTGCCCAAGGCGATAGCCGAGGGCAACTTTAGCTTCTTGAGGCGTCTTCTTCAGAGGCGCCTAATATGCTGACGTCTGTTCTTAACCTTACACTGCTCCCGTAATTCAGCCGATGGGCTGCAATTGGTCAGATATAAACTATATAACTAACTAACTAACTAACTAACTGGATATAATTTTTGGAGCTTTCAATGTTGAAGAGGACTTTACTATTCTAAATCACCTAATACTAACAGCTAAATTTTATACATACAAGTGTAAATTGAATTTTAAAAACCCTTTTATAGGAGTTTATAAGACCAAGATCGGGGAGATATACCAAGTAGAAATGAAGATAGCAACAAAGCGGAATAAATTAGCTAAACATTTTCAGAAATGGAATAAGCTTTTGCCACATATCGTTTTGTGGGATGGGTGTCCAAACAATGTAGAGTAGCATACGAAGTCAATTTTATTGTAAAGCACACAATATCGCTATATACTATTATCAAGGTACTGTAAGTAATTTACGGTAACATATTGAAAGGAGTGTAATATGTCGTTACGTAATGTAAAAGTAGAGTATCGTGTAGGTAGTGGAAGTAATCGATGGTGACTCATCTGCTGTAGTCAAGTTTATTGTAAACTATACTTTGTTTGTGGTGTGTTCTCAGTAAACTATTGTAAGCAACGTACTGTAACTGAGT